CCTTATGCATACTGTTTCGCAGTTGACATAAGGAATTGTTTCACTAAGGCTCGGATTGCTTTGATCGTCACTCTAAGAATTGCTAATGCCTAGATTTGCTAAATTATGGAGAACCCAATGAGTAACTCGATATGGAGGGGTAATCAAATTTATTATCCACTACACATTTCTCTTTTTTTATTTTTTGTTTCTAGTTGCTAACTCTTGGCATTTTTAAAATTATGATAGGTTCCCCTTTGCTTAAAGATGTCCACAATGCGATCCCTAACAGTGTTGGTTAGTAATAATCATTGTATTTTTATCATCTTGTTTGATCCTTCTTTATCTTTACTTATTAAGGCCATTTTCAGCAGTCTCAGGTGGTGTTGTCTCACTGATCCAAGGTTCTTATGAATATTATCACTACCTTCAAGACGGTTTTGATGACTCGGTAATGAATTTCTCCCTCTTCCAAGTATTTGAATTGCTATTGCTAACTTCTAATAGCTTCTTCATCTATTCCAAATCTTTTATGCAAATCGCTGTTGTGAACTATTTTCATGTGAGCAAGATATTGGAATCTTAACTAAGTCATGCTATTATGTTCTTCTGCTCAAATGTGCTTTTAGTAATCTTAATGATGTTTTTGTTTTCACGTGATTGTGTGTATATCACATATTTACTGTTGTGGGAGTCTGAAGAAGTGAAACTTCTTTTTCTTCCTCTCTCTCTTTGAAGAAAAAAACTTTAGTTAGCTAAGAAGTTTAACGAGTCCCAATTTCTCTTCTTAAGAGGCCAAAACCCATTCATCCTTGAAGTATATTTCACTTTGAAACACAATTTCAGCATCATGGTAGCATTTGGAATCTGTAATAAACCTTGAAGACTCCATTCACTATTTTTTTGTCGAAGCTTCTGTGATTAGAATCTCATTAATGTTCTTTTTTTAGGTTTCTTCGGTTAAGACTACTGCAATGGTGATTAGGGTGTCATTAGGGAGAGAACACTTGAATCTCATAAAACTGAGAAGAAAAGTGTTTGGTGAGTTATGCATGTAATTATTATTTAGATTCATGTTCTATTCCTTATACCAGAACTAGAATTCCTCCTTATGACCTAAACAGAAGTGGCTGCCTCCCTCATTTACAGGAACTAGCTAACTGTGAGTCAAGCACTTTATAGGTAAGTAAAATAAAAACTAATCCAAGACATAATTAGCTAACACAGAAGTATTAAACCAGAAAATACAAAAGATGTAGGTTAGTTCTTCCTTGCTCTTTTCTGGACATGTGTCACATGCTGATAAGCAACACAAATCTCCCCTTCTAGCTCATAACATTTTCTGTGTGACAATGGCTCCTTTTTGTAAGGAAAAACTTATAACTGATTTATTAGCTCTCCAATCCTTGTATTTTGGTGTCCTAGAAGACACTCCCATTGTAAAGTCGACATTTACAGCAATTGATTCTACAATATGTAGCGATACGAAGCAACAGTTTGGTTCACCTGTGTTTTATGCCATATTGGTGGAGAAACTCCATGGGAGTTGCATCTTGAACTTTATTTTGGTCACTGGAAGTTGCAGATACTGAATTGTATCTTATTATGGTTTATTTTCACCCAAACTTCTGTGGAGTGGAAATGAAAGTGTCCTAAGGCTCATGGAGGTAATGTGCATTTTGCTTTAGTTGCATCTCCATGCTATAGGTAAATAAAACAGGCTTCTAGTTTGCCGATAAAAGTTTCACAAAGGGGTAGTTTATTTCACCTATCTTCTGCCATATGAGTGGAGAAACTCCATTGGTGTAAAGGCACAAAACTTTCAGGAAATAAATATATATTATATTAGTAAAACAATGACAGAAGTAATTAAAAGTTTAGGGTTTTCATTTTTTACGCAGTAAATCAGGATACCCAATAGAGTTACGAGAATGTTTATTTAAGAAAGTTCAAATAACGGAATAAATAAATAAAATAAAACATAACTAAAAATCCTATAGAGTCAATCTCCACTGGGCAACTCTAATGGGATTTGGGAAGCAACTTTTATTCACAACTTTCTTTCTGTTTAGGATCTGGATTTGTGTCTTGCTGATCTAAAATGGTTAAATAAAAGGGACGAAATACATTAACTCAGTAAGAATATCACACTTAACACCGATATTGAAGACTAAAAGTTTGTGGTAAAAATTGTTAAACAACCAATAGAGCCATTATTTTTTTTTAAATAAATTCGTTTAATTTAAAAACCGTTATCTTATACTTATCCTTACGAATTTCCAAAATCGACCTATGAAGACAATAACCCGAATAACATTTTTATTTCACACTTAAAGGAATAATAGCAATAAGTTTGCCTTTTTACCTGTTTATCAGTACCTTTAGGGGTGCATAGGGATATTCCCCCTACACGTGAACCCAATATTCAATTATCAATCAATCGGCCGTCCTCATACTCCGTCTAGTAATAGACGCCAAACATACCACTACCTCGATGCCCCGTCTGGTATAAGGATGAATTTATACCTTCTAACCTCTTCTAGTATGGGATTTCTCAGCCTCATTCGACTGAGATAACGTTTATGGTAGGGTTTTCCTATGTACTGGGTTTGTACACCCAAACTGAAAGTACTCGATAAACTTTTTAGCATACATATTCACATCATTCACCAGCCACCAATCACACGCAACCAACTTATTCCATATTTACAAAACAATAGAGTGATAATTACACAAACAGTATAAATTAATAGATTAACAACTAAGGGAGACATGATCAAAGCATTTATTGAAAACCAATCAATAGATGAGGACAACACGGGTAGATAAACTACATAAACGAGAAAGCAATTAAAATCAGTAAATTAAAGCACACGATGTAACAATAAGCATTTTAAACAGTATAGAAAAAAATAAACAACTAAATTAGGAAAAAAATACACTTGACCAGTTTCGGCTTTAGTGGTGACTTGTAATTAATTTAGGGATTTTTATTTTTTACAAAACACACCGTTTATTGATTATTAGACTTTAATTTACCGTAACGGAAAAAAAAGGTGAGAGATTCTTACTCCAGATCGGTGTTTGAAACACCGTTCTTTTCACTGTGCCTCCTGTTGGTTCTTGAGTTTCCTGGGTTTTTCTTGTGGAAATAAAAAATACGCATCACGTATCTAAAATACCCCAAAAAAATTAAAATAAGTGTTTTTAAACTTTTTCGGCCAGTTTAGGGTTCTGGCACAATGGTGTCGTTGTGCTCCAGCCGTTTCCGCCGCCCACGGCGGCTATTCCTCTTGGTCTGGTTGTTTTCAGCCGGTTTTGGCCGATTTTGCATGGAAACCTGCGAAAAATAAGGTTAGAGAGCCTCTGTCAGACGGAAAAAGGGAAAAACCGAGACCTTACTGGCGGAGGGGTATCCTAGTGCGGCGGCTCCGCCGTTCCTCTTTTGCAGTCGGGGTTTTTCTTCGGCTAACCTATACTAGAAAGAAACGAGGAACACGATGGTCAAAAAATCGAGAGAAACAGGAAACAAGCTCATCGGAAGAGGTTTCCGGTTGCGGCTGCGGCGGCTCAGCCGAGTTCCACTCGCGTTTTTCGGCTCACTCGTTGGCATTTCGGCTCTGATAATATGGGTGCGGGGAGGTTCGGAATTCAATTTCGAGCAGAAGGGGAAAAACTTTTACTTCTTCGGCATTGGTGGTGGCTTTGATGCAGCGACGACAATGTCCCTCCGATAGGTGAGCTTTCCTTCGGCCGCCCTTCTTCTTTTCCGGTCAGGGGTGTCGGCTGGGGTTTTGGGAGCCGACTGAAGAGAGATTTAAATACCTCTCTTCCCTTGATCCTGACCGTCCATTCGAGTCGACATGGAGTAAGGAGAGCCGTTCAATTCAAAGCTTGTTTAGGCCGATCTGTGTGCAAATCTGGGTCATCCAATGCGATCAAATCTATTTATTCGATCGAGTCTGAAGAGAAAACGGATATGGGTCGTTTGTATCCGTTGGCATGCTGATCGCCCGCGTGGCCTCTCGCTTGGACGTGTGTCCACGTGTCTGCCACGCGGCATACGAAGACTGGCTGCGTTGCTGACGTGGTGGTCCACGTGGCCTAACTTTTGAAAATTTTATTTTTACTCCAGTTTTTCAGATTTTTTTTCAAATAGGTCATCCCTTATTTTTATTTTATTCCTGATTTTCGAAAATATTTTCAAATGCATCCAAAATTCAATTTTTATCAAAATTCATAAAAATTAAAATTAAAATTATTTCAAATTATTTTTCTTATTAATATTAAGAAAATTTGGCCCGGATGTTACAATTTTCTCCTCTCTTAAGAAAAAATTTAGTCTCTCATATTTGTCGCTCTCTCACTAGTCAAATAGTTGGGAGTACTAGACTCTGAAGTTCGATTTTAGCTCCCAAGTAGTCTTGTCCTTCGAGTGATTCTGCCATAAGATATTGACGAAGGGGATCTCTCTGTTGCGAAGCACAATGCTCTTCCGGTCCAAAATACCTACGGTATTTCCTCATAAGATAGATCTTCCTTGAGTGGAAATGACTAATGAGATAAGATATGCGAGAGATCTGGGTTGTACTTACGTAGTATAGACACATAGAATACATTATGAACTCTGAATAACTCTAGAGGTAGTGTTAGTCTATATGCAGATGTACCAACCCTGTCCAAGATATTAAATGGTCCGATGGAGTGGAGGTTTAACTTTTTCCTCTTTTCAAATCTGCTGATACCCTTAAAGGGGGTGACCTCAAGAAACACCCGATCGCTTTTCTCAAATTCCAAATCCATCTTTCGAGTGTCCGAATAATTTTTCTGCCCACTCCAGGCTGTCTGGATGTTCTTCGTGATTTTAGCTATCTTAGCTGTGTCTCATCTACAAGGTCTGGACTAATCAATTTTCTATCATCCATCTCTTCCCAACAGATCGACGATTTACAGAGTCGACCGTATAATGTTTCATACGGAGCCATGCCGATACTTGCTTGATAACTGTTATTGTAGGTGAACTCTATTAAAGGTAGGTAATTGTCCCAATGTCCTCCGAAGTCTAGAACACAAGCTCTGAGCATATCTTCCAGTATACGAATGGTTCATTCTGACTGTCCATCTGTTTGAGAGTGGAATGCTGTGCTGAGCGACAGTTTCGTTCCCATAACTTGCTGAAAACTTTACCAAAATTGAGAGGTGAACCTTTTCTCCGTAGGATACCACTGTCACCGAAACTCCATGTAGCCTAACTTTTTACCGGATATAGATTCTTCTTAGCTTGTTTAAAGGTTCAGTCATTCTGATAGCCAAAAAATGAGAGGACTTGGTGAGTCGGTCAACAATTACCCAGATGACATCATGCCCTGAACATGCCTTAGGTAGCCCTGTTACAAAATTCATAGTGATATGTTCTCATTTATACTCCGGGATTGGTAATGGCTGAAGTAT